ATTTTATATAGCTGAAAATTGTTCTATATATAGCTGTAACATTTAAACATACATAAGGACATATTGTAAATAATAGAAAGGCCAATTGTAAAATTAATTTAGGGTGGTACACTTGTATGGGTGGTATTACTGATTACCTACCTGTATGATGTACCTGATTAGTATAAGTAGCTTTAGTTTTGAGTAGTTATTAGTTTTATCTTCCTCTTGAAGATGATCACTTGGTGATCGAAACACGTGTCGAGGTGTAAAAATAACGATTTGGTGTTGGGAAAAATCTCCAGTAATATACATAAGGAGAAAATGAATTCATTTAAATCATGCGATGAGGAGTCATGAAACCTTTTAAAGGAAGGTTTAAATTCAGCGATTCTAGAGCGAAAGGTATTGAGCGGTAATATGACAAGTACTGAAACCTAGTCAGTATAGGCATTACCATTTTTAAAATCTATGCAAATAATTAAACATGTGAGGTAATAAGACAAGTGTCTTATTAGGAAACATCGAGGTTCGGAATTGAGCAGGGTGATAGTGTTTCATGCAAGTGAAACAATTAGCGGTGTGCCCAGTACCTGTCAATAGTAAATTACATGTTGATCATAATGTTGGCTTTAATTAAATTATTTAATGCAACATATAAGAATAGTTTTACAAAAAAGTGATATATGTTCAACATTATTATTGTTTCATTTTTAAAATCGGCGACAGTATCAAAATCTCTCCCGAGTTAGATTTTCTTATTTTTATAAAATGAAAGCCAGGATCACTCATTCTCCAATTGAGACACTATGCTATTTTTTGTGAAACCTTTTAGATTTATGTTAGAAAATCTGACGCGCTCGATTAAATGTTTTTTCTTTTCACTTTTAACCCTTACGTACAACCACCCGCATCATGCAAACGATCAGATTAACATACGGACATTATTAAAAATACGTAGGACATTGATGCTATCAATATCTGACGCGCTCGAGTGTGTCCATGCAACAGTATTTTTTTACATATTTAAAAATCTATAGCCGCTTCCCCCACCGACGAAAAGGTATGTATTATATATTTTCTTCTTATGATCTAAGCTTTGCAACCTAATATGTCTCTATGACACTCGAGTAAATCCCAATTTTGCATCGTGGGCTCCCCTACTATATCTTGTTCCATATCTGTGGATCTGTGGTAGTAAAGTAAGGTTATACCTTTGTCAAAGAATATTGTTCTTGTGATTTCTTGTGCATTTGTATATGATATAGTCTATATACAAAGGTTATACATAATTTTCAATATTTTGAAATGTATTTTTGTTTGTATGAATAATAAATTTACCGTTTTTTTCTAACGTTAGTTTAATCTGCAAAATGTACACTCTCATACATGGATTTTATAAATATATGGTACAAAAGGATGAGTTTTGTGTATTAATATTAGGATTGGATAATGCTGGTAAAACTGTAAGTAACTCCACTTGTATGCATTAGAGGATTCTAAAACTACATCAAAATTTTTAGACGTACCTGGAAGCAGCAAAAACGAAATTGACGAAAAATTATACAGGAATACATCCTACAAAGATCACTACAACTGTTGGTTTGAATATTGGAAAGATTGATGTTGCTGGTATAAGATTAAACTTTTGGGATTTAGGAGGTCAAATTGAACTTCAGTCTTTGTGGGACAAGGTAAAGTAGAAAGGTAGATAAACATTGAGAATTTTTAAAAGTTGCAATATGAATATGTATATTAACTATTCACAAATGATGGATATTACTTGGGGATATTTTCTTGACAATCTTATGAAAAATATTTTTTGAAGATTTTTTACATTAATCGAAGAAGAAACTCCTTTGACAGGTCTTTTAGATCATGAACCAGTAGTGTTATCAATAGTAGATACAATACTTTACAGTAATATATCATCTCACGAAAACTAGAAACCTGACATGAAAATCAACAATTTTTTTGTTAAGGTTTTTTGGATTATTTTCAGAGATCGCATATCCCAAAATATATCCTTGCGAAGATAAGATTTTTATATTGAGCACATTTTCTTATTAATCTCACTATTCATTCCAGTATTAACTTTATTCCTATTCTTGAAAAACATTGTTTGAGAGGAGAAGTAATATGATTATTAACATTTCAACTGTCTATTTTTTGTTTTGTTTTAATGACTGGTGCTAGTTCAACAAAAATGTATTTTTGTGTGATAATTACAAATCTAAAGTAAAAAAAATCGTCTGTTTCAGAATAAACTTCTAGTAATAAAAACAAGTGAAATTCTCCTTTTTTCATTATTGCATGGGAGGAAGTTTCATTTTTTTGCTACTTTCATTTTTCTTCCATCCGAAACAATAAATTTCAATTTTTAAATAGATCACCTTTTAAATTATTTAATTTTTGGAATTCTCTAAACGTTCTGATTTCTTTTGCTTAATCTAAGAGAAGTAGATAGGCATGTAAGATTGTTAAAAACGACCCTAATAACTACAAAAATTCAAGATATATGGAAAATGTCTGAGATTTTTATTTATGTGAGACAACGCATAACATTATTTCTTTAAATGATTTCTCAATGGTAACAGAAGACTATTTGAAAATCCATCTTCTTTCCTAGCACTGAAATTACACCATTTCATTTTTCATTTTAGTATTATGAAGAATCGCATGCTATTATATATATTGTTGATTCTTCTGATAGAGAAAGAATTCAAGAATCAAAAGAGATATTTGGTAAGTTTGTAGTAAGCACAGATATTATGTTAGATTAAAAAACTTACAGAAATATTTATACTTTTCTCCATTTAATAATCCCACAGCTCTTATGAAGTTGAAAACACACATGATTTTACAGATAAAATGATATCAAGTGAAGCATTACAAGGAATCCCTCTATTGGTTCTAGCAAATAAACAGGATATTCCAGAATGCATGGGAGTTAGAGAAGTGAAGCCAATATTCAACAAAAATGCGCATCTGATTGGAAAAAGAGACTGTATGGTTATGCCAATATCAGCTCTCACAGGGTATGTGGAAAATATACTGCATTTTGCAGGTCCTAATTTCTCAATCTTCGAAAAAACAATTATTCTGTCTAGCTCAGAATGAATCTAATAAAAACACTTCACCCACACATTAGAACCAAGGAAAATGTTTTTGTTTTGGTACAGGGGAGAAGCATTTTTGTTGGGTATGAGGTAATTTAAATTGCTTTATTTCGAGAACATATTAAAAACCACTCAACTGAATAGATTATCATTCCATTCATACAAATAATGATTTATTTGATTTTTAACACAGAGAAAAAATCGAATTATTATATTGAGGTACAATTTTTTTTTGTATGTACAAACCTGATAAACAAAGCCTCTAAATAATTATATAGATCAGTTTAAAATACTATTATGAAGTCTTCAAAACAATTTTTGGTTTCAAGGGATTTGAAATTATTTTGGTAATTTTCAATTAACACACTTTTATTAGCTTCACCTGTATGTATGTATGTATGTTTGTTTGTTTGCAACTCTCCTTGTAATTTTCAATTAACACACTTTTATTAGCTTCACCTGTATGTATGTATGTATGTATGTTTGTTTGTTTGCAACTCTCCTTTTCATTTCATATTCATTCCCTTTTGAATGCTCGGGATCTGTATTTGACAGAATTATCAACATTATTGCTTGATCTATTCGCGGGCAGATGGCGCTCCTTTGCGCGCTTGCTGCCTTCCTTGGGCTTGGTAGTTGATTTTCAGGCTCCCTTTCCGGAATCGGAAAATATCAATGATCGGTTTTCTAAACAATATATGGCTGATTGATCTCAAAATTTAGATAAAATAAATATAGTTTAAAAGACTAAAAAACACGCTTTTATAGCATACGAAACTAAAAAATGAAAAATAAATATAAGTTAAAAAAACTAAAAAAGACGCTTTTAAAGTATTCATATGTGAAATTCAAAATTTATCTACATTTGATAGAATATAACATGAAAATTATATACAATTGAAATTTTAAAACCTGACTTTTTTAGTGAAGGAGTTGATGAAGGCATCAGGTGGCTTGTGGATTGCATCAAAAGGAATGTATATTTGAGACCACCCAGAAACCAAGAAGAAACTTAAAGAAGTTGTTTATAAATAAATGGACTAATATTTGTGGTAACAAGAAATGTCACAATTTCTTGTTGAAATCAAGACTATGCTTGAAATAAAGTGTTAAGAACTTATTTTTCATTTTAAAAATAGATTTTTGTGTCAAATAGATTTGTATTGAGATTACTATGGACTGTCTATTTGAAACAATTTTTTATCTAAGAGGATTTATCAAAGTAAATCATAATAAAATCAGAACCACTTTAATATTATGTACCAGAAATGTTAATTCTCCCAGTAAGTCCTTACACATCCATTTCAACTGCTCATTATTCAAGAGTTTAACAAAACTATTCGTCTTCTAGATATTTTATAGTTGATCAATTAAGACAATATTAAAATCTGTTGTTAATCTTATATTGTGTGACAGAAATTTTGGTACTTTCAATGAAGTACCTGCCTGCAAATATATTCAATTGATAACTCATCAATATACCATTTCAAACAAAACCATCATCTCTTCTCTGCTATCATTGTTAAGTTAAATGCTGAGTTGAAATAACCATGACAGTTTGTTCTGTTTATGAAATTTATTCGAAAATACTGGTCAAATATTCTCCTGCATTTCAATGGTCTTCAGTTGTATGAATATAAATAACAAAACATTTCTTGATATACTGTAATGCAGTCGTTTCAAAGATACAGCCCGCGATCACAATGTGTCACTGAAAGAAGCGTGTGTCTAGACAAGCGAGAGTTTTAGTTGGGTACCTATTTAGTTCCAGTAAGCAACTCGATCATAGATAGTAACGCCATCTCTTAGCAAAAAACGGAAATACCCTATTATTTTTGTTGAGAATAGAATCTTGAGTTTATCACAATGCTTGGATTCCTTCACAAGAGAGGAAACTTTGGATAGACATGAAAAACCGACATGTCCGAATTGCAAGGAAAGAAGAAAATGCACATATTCTTTATCAATCCATAAGTTTCTCCGTATTTTAATCATTCATTTTGAAATATTATATTGAACAGAAAGATTCAGAGGCAAGTTAAATGTTGCCATGTAACATTATCTGAATGCCTTATTTGACTGACTCAAGCTCTAAGATGCCATGTATTTATATGCAATTCAATTTTGAAACTTTGACCCTGTTTTATTTACGGGAGAATGTCTTAATTAGCACTTTATTTTTTTTGGTTTCGTAGAAATTGACTGTGTTGAACAAAAAAAATTTAAATGGTGCATTGTAGTTGGGAAGTTGAAATTAATTTTTTTGCTCAGTATTATGGAAACTTATTAATATAATTATTTTGATTTTCACTATACCATAGCTTGCTCGAGGATAGCAAAGCAGTTTTGTGAACCTTTTATAGTGAAGATCATAAATCTTATTAGTAAGTTTTGATATGGATTTTTAACAAGTATCTGCCAATTTTATTCATTCGGTAAAAATATAACGTTGATTATTTCCTACCAGTTGTCTGTCATATTGTTTTTCAAGTTATATCTTGACAAAGGGACATGCGGAGAGAAAAATGGAGACCCTGGAAAAAATATATTGTGAAGGATGGTACTCAAATAGGACAAGTTGAAATTTAAAAAGGTTCATTCCTCTATCTCAAGAAAACATTTTGAATATCTGTTTAAAATCTGTTTTTCCGTTAATCAACTGTTGCCCCCATACGAACAACTCTTAGAAGTTGAGAAACTAAGGGCTAACGAGGTCTTACCTTTTAACGTGTGATTCCCATGGAATATGTATGGAATGATAAAATTAACGCCACTCCAAGTAAGAGATTTATTTCAATTATTGTATATCCTAATTATAATTTTCAGTACAAAGTATACTTGGTCCAGGAAAGCTGATCTGAGTACCTGAGCGAGTTACACTATCAGAAGCGATAATACAAGCCTTCTGTATTGCCTGTTGGATGTTGATATTTTTTTCATATGCTAAGAGATATGCCAAAGCACCAATAAAGGCATCACCGGCACCAGTTGAATCAACACATTTGACTTCAGGACAGGAGATATGATGAAAATGCTTATTTTTGCTATCAACGTAAATGGCTCCTTGGGCACCTAATGTTATAAGAACACTGTTACATCCTCTTGAAAGAAGTTCAAGTGCTGCAGTTTCAGCGTCTCTACAAGTTAAAAAGAATAAGTATTCAAAACCAAAAAGGTTTTTAGATGCAAAAATTTATGACTGTTGCAGAGCCTGCTAAAATTGATTTGGCCACATAGGTATTTAAATTCATATTTTACAGAACATTTTTTATCTCAACGGGTAGAATGAGTCAAATGAATCTAATTAAAAATACACAGAAAGTCTAGCTTTGCCTACTTTACCATTTAGACAATATACCTAATGATCAAGTACTTCTAATTTTAAGGAGAGTTCGGCTGTATGAACATGTCCTCTCTTGCTTATAGGTAGGAGCCTTAAGAATAATTCAGAGCATTCTACATTATCGATTCCGTAATCTGAATTATATTCTAATTATCTTTCTTCATCCTTGAATTTTGCATGAAAAATATAATAATTTTCCAATATTGATACAAAAATAATTTGATAATTGATTTGAAAAAGCGTTTTTAGCAATGAAATAGCAACTCATGTTCTCTTTGAGGTCTGAGCACTTGGAAAAACTATTCCGGCTCCATGTAGTGAAGCAGTTTTTATTTTTACTTCTTTTTTTGAATCAAAATTGTTTTTAAATAATTTTTTATGTAGCTTCACTTTAATAGTAGACATCATGACAATTTTATGATATCTTTTTAAGTAAAGACTACACTGTTCACTACTTCGAAAAACATTTGCAATAACTGATTAAGTATCAATCCCAGTAAATTATATTTTATTAAAATTTCAGTATCATACTCACTCCTCTACAGAATTGTATAGCTCTTATAGCTACTTGCTCTGAAGTTTCTAGCTGTACTACAAGAACTTTGGCATTGGTGATACTGTTTTGAGCCTCCTCAACATCTTCTACGCTTAGCTTTCCATTGGCGCCTGCAACAATAACTATCTGATTTTCTCCCTTTTCGGAAACTATTATCTGAGCAACACCAGTTGATGTATTATCTGTTGACTTGATATTTTGTGTATTTACTTGTTCTTTATTCAAATTATGCACATATTTTGGGCCCCAGACATCATCTCCAACCTGAAATGATTGTAATTGTCAAGTGACACTGAACAAACACATTGAATTGTATAGTTTCTTATGAGAATATTGAGAAATCCATGTACCAAAATGAACATCAAACTAAGAAAATAGACTGGGTGATTAATAGGAAATTATTCACCAATCACTAGTTGCTTGTAGATCAACTCCCATTCAGATATATACGTACTCTAGCAACTAATGCAGTTTTTCCACCAAGTTTTGCAGCTGCTACACATTGATTGGCACCTTTACCACCAAAATTCGTAACAAACTCTTTTCCATGGATAGTTTCACCTACGTTTGGTAGCCTGGGGGCATAACTAACACAAAATAAATGTAGAATAGTAATGGTTATAAATTCTTTATTACCTAACAAAATCAATCATGCAAGAGCCAACAACAACAATTTCAGAATGAGACATATTAAAGTTATTCCAGTATTTTTTCCTTATTTCATGAACATTGCCATTTTACTTACGTAATGGTAATTGTAAAACAATCTTATCAAAATGAAAATAAAATAAAATTCCTAACCTATAATCTTCAGTTTCTATTTTGACAGTTTTTCTGTAATTACACATTCCATTATGACTAATGTGAACTTGGCCGCAAAATTTATCAGCTGCTATTTTCGAAGGATGCCGAAGGCACAGTGGCGTCGGTATTTATTATAATATTAAATTGGAAAAAACCATCAGTTTTCCAGCAAAGAGTAACATTTTTGTTTGATGACACTTCAAATAATAAGAAATACAGAAATAAATCAATGTTAACCCATTTGTTGATTTATAAGCAGCTTACATTGAACTATAGACCAACATTGAAGTGGATGTTATGATAACATTGTAGTTGAAAAAAAATTAAATTATACCGGAGGAAAATATTGGACGGGATTCAAAAAAGGTAACATGAAATTTTAAAAAAATTCGCTGGAATGAAAAATTTGACCAATTCTTCGAAAGGACTGGCCTTAGAGAAAATTATTGAAATAACTACTTTATTCTGTCGAAAGTGCACCGATTGTCACTCGCAACCTCTGCCGAGGAAGTGGATGCTGAAAAAAACATATGAAATAATTATTTTTAGTTTGATGCGCATGGACTGTCGAGATAAAAATCAGTAAGAATTATATAAGTTGAATGAAAAGTTGTTTTACGAGAACAAAGATATAATAACCAGTTATTAGCAAGATGTTTAAAACATTGGTAAGAGGTTCCATCTTCACTAGGAGCCTTATTATTTTTGCAAGTATCCAAACAGACCAACATTAAATCGAGAAAAATTTCTTAATCCAAGTTTTATTGCGCGTGCCGGAGTATGAAGTATTATCGATTATTCGTAGAGGGAGCATAGATTCATAGAACCCTTTCCAGACAACTATAGAGATTTCTAGCAAATTACGTAACTGTTTCGAAATTGCCTAAGTGTGTTCCAAAATTATCTAGAGTTTTTCACATTAAGTTTACTCAAAATGTACATTTCATAATCTGCTCTTTTATGTTTGGCTAGTTTTTGTACCACGCTTTAGTTGCTTGCATGTCTATTCGAGCTTCATTCGAAAGTTTAGGGTATGATTCAACAATATCAGGAAAAAATATATTTTAAGTGACCTTAAAAGTTTTTCACGAAAACACATTTGTGAATTCCCACCCCAGAACAAAAGAAGGAAATTCACAACAGCTATATTCGATCTTCTACCATTTGATAGACAAAATGATTGAGCATCCATATATTTTAGTAAACTATGGCCCCTACTGTTACCAATTTTGTCGAAACTAAGTCTTTCAAGATATAGGTAGTTGCCTACAAGAACAGTTTTAGAGGTGACTAACCTTACAGCTACAGAGACAAAAAATTATAAATATAATATGATAATACTCATCAGTTTTGGCACGAATATACGAACCATATATAATTCAAAAATATAGCAACAATACAGAATGAGGGACTGAAGTAAAAAACACATAAAATGAAAGAAAAGTTGTGATGTCTTAGGTGACGAAAAATTCACCACGGAGACATGTCCAGTACACAGTAAAAATGTATTTTCAAAAGTCAGCAGATCGCCGCTAGCACGTCGTCTGGAATTGTCACTTTACCACATTACTGAATATTACATGACAGTCAACTAGTTCTCATGGGGAATAGCCTAAATCTACAGTTGGCCAAGTCTTGGAAACACAAAGAATAGGAATTCGGAAAGGTGCTTGAATCACTGCATATTCCAGGTAACTATTCGAAGTGGTTGCTAATTGGACTCCTTAGATATTTTATCAATACGTTAGGGGAATATTCGTCATCACGGGCTCTTATATTGAGTGAACTGGGTTGTTCTATTTTGAAAAATTGTAGTTCGATTATTGACATATTTATTAAAAATATCCCTTCCACCACTCTCTTCATCGCTCATATTGTACACATCAGTTAGATTTTTTTTTTGTTTCAGTGTAAAATCGACTCTGAGATCCCAGGAAATTTTGTCTTCGAGAGCTTATTTTTATTTCTCAAAACTGATCTCACCACGTCACGAGGCTGTAGGCAAGCTTTCATTGGCTGAGAGTTCTGATAATTTTTTCCGCATCTAAACCTGTTTTTGAATTCTATATCCGCACCTGGGACAATTGAGAAAATTGCTATTGATGAAGTCAGAACTGTCTTGGGCTTCAATAAGCATATCTTAAATCAAAATAATGCGTTCAATCATTCATAATAAACATAATTCATATCATGTTTAGTTCCATTTTCCAGATCATCTATCCGTTTTTAGAGCGTTTCGTTTTTTTGCAGGATAGTGATACCACATTCACAGATGTATATTGCCGCTGAACAGGTAAGTACCTAGACATTATAGAATACATAAAATCAGTTTGTTGTTATTTACATGATTTTCACAGTACCAACTCATTGAAAAAGGTTGCAACATGTAATATTCTCATATTGGAAAACGGCATTTCTAGAGCTTTTCGATCCGAAGACAATAACGTTGGATTTGTGAACGATACATCATCAGACAGTGATCAAAGGCATTTTTCACAAACACTTTATAGAGGTTTCTAATGCCTCCGCATAGTATCATAGAAAAAGGCTTACTGAAAATAAGAATACGGAAAATGAATTGACGACACTTCAACTTCAATATGGCGGACTCAAAATGATGGAAGACTATATGTTTTTTATGCGGAAAATAAGATGGCCGCCATACCAATTTTAGAGTAATTAATTCGGCAAAAGTAAGGGATAGTTTTGGTTGGTGCTTCAATAAATGTAGGAATCGATCGCATTCAATGAATAAATGAATAGACCAAGCAAATTACTAAAGAATGAATAATGAATTCATAGTAAAAATGACAGTTTTATGCAAAAGATTTCATTTACAAACTTTAAAAAGGGAAAAATACTTTTCGAATTGACTGGAACCCATCAATTCATTAGGTAGGTATATTAAACAATTTATAAAAGATATAAAAGCTTGCACCAGATTTATTTGAGTAGAAAAACAAGTAGGTTTGAAACATATAACTTGATCTTGACATAAGTAATTTTGAGAAAAAAATATTTTTTTATAAAATAAGTCATTCTAGCCATAAGAAGCTTTTTCACAATAATATTGAGGTAACAATCCCAATTTTTCAAGCCACTGCGCATTAGGTAGTTATTGTTATTGTACTGAACTTGACTTTTCAGCAAGTTAAGTGGTTTGTTGGCGGGACGTTGGGGTTGGCTCTCAATTATTGTCCTCGTGGTCCTTATCACGTTCCTTATGGATCATGCCCGCTAAATCCGCAATCAACTGTTGTTAATGTCACACTGTTTGTTACTAATAATAAATTAATTCATTCGTAAAATGAATAGGTAGGTATATAAGGAAGTAATTAAGCAACTCGTATTTGGAGGTATACATGTACATATAAATAAATCCTATTAAAATAATTCTGACATGAATATTGTTTTTATTTGCACATGGGCATCACTATACCTACATTTCTAGCTATAAACCTTCGAGGAAATGGTATTTTTACAATATCAAACGACAGGTGTACGATAAACTGATAAAGGAATATGAATAACTTTCTTATCTTTGCTCTATTTATCAAACACCTATAATGATATATAAAATATAGATGCTTTCTTAAACCCAGTGCATGAGAGAAATCTTGGATTTTCCAAATTAGCTAGTGCAATGTATCCATATTATGAATCCGATTGGAGTGTTCTGCCTCCGGAATGTAACAGAAGGTAAGAAAAAATAATGCTCATTTACAAAACCTTCACAGGTTAATAGAAAACTTGAAATTTACCCATGCACTTTCTGTTGTTATTGCATACTCTATGACTAGTTATCCTGATACAGAAGTTGAGCCCATATACCAGTCTTATTCAGTTCATTTGGCTTTGTTCAACTCAAATTATTGAATTTAAATATCAAACTTTTTTACGTCACAAGTGATTGAAAATCGGATCCCACGTCGGATGACTATATGACGTCATAAAGCCGGCCATATTGCAGAATGTCAAAAATTTAAGTGGGATGGGATAAGGATGTTCTGAAAAATAAAGTACTTTGATTTATTTCCGAAGAGATAGTTCTTTATTTTGTTGTGAGTTATTTTTTGAATAAATTTGAGTGCTACATACTTTGTTCTCGTGACTTCTCATTATTTTTTGTCATCTGTCAAATTCCTAAGGTGTTCAAAAACAGGTGAATTTGTTGAGTGATTTTATAATATTTGTACATGGTTCTGAACAGAATTGAAATTGAAAAGTACTGATCAAACAAAAAGTGCGTTACATCATTCGGAGTCTATTTACATAAATGGATTTTTATTAAATGTGTGTATTGCTTTAACAGATTGATAACCTGAATTTTGCTGTGTTGTACAAGTTGAACAAGTAATATGAATGCTTCAGAGCATGGGTAAACTTAAAAAATTGTTAATTGCATGATTGTTTTTTTGATATGAGTTGGTTTTTAGATTTAACCCTGCTTTTAACATGGCTACTATCAAGCAAGTCGTTAATGAGGCTATCGAAAGAGGTATGTTGCCTTGTCAATCCAGTCTACTGTAATCAGTAGTTCTAGTGTAACACACTTACTTATTCATTTTCTATTCAAGTACGAATGCCTACTCCGATGCGACTTCGAGATCTCATAAGACAAATTAGGGCAGCAAGAACAGCAGCTGAGGAACGCAGTGTGGTCAACAAAGAATGTGCATATATTAGATCCACTTTTCGAGAAGAAGATTCAGTATGGAGGTGAGAAAATTTCTCTGTTTGCTTTTGAAAAATCTAAATATTTCAAATTGAATGGAAACTAGAGCTCAACTAGATGCCATGCAGTGAGAGACAAGACGGTCTCGTTCAGCAGGACAATGTTGAAGCTTGGCTTTCAAACTGACAATTTGTGTTGTTATAGTAGTAAAAAAGGCTTACAAAATTCCAGTGGCATTAATAATAGTGAGAATGTAAACACAATATAAAAAATGAAAATGTGAAACATTTTTGTTTTGTTTTTATGAGTTAACTCCCTACAATTGATATCAATACAGAATCTGAATCAGTCTTTCAATTTAATTATTACTGGATCTATGACAGTTGCAAAATGATTATATGTTTTTGTTACTTAATTTCTAGGATAATTGAATTTTCTTCTTTTATTAGGCTAATTACTGTTTTTTTCATCAAGTTTGGCATTTTAGAGCTTACTGGTGATTTAAGTTTATGACAAAGGAATTCAATTGCATTAAAAATATAATGCTATGGAGGATGTGTTAGGAATGTGTTCCTGTTCTGCAGTGAAATTATCACAAACATGAATAGCTGATTTTTTTTGCAAAATATATCATTCACCAACAGAAAATTCTAAATCTCTGTTTTGTGTCAGGAACTCTTGACAATTATAGACTATGGTAAGAAACATTATCCATAATTAGACACTATTGGTGGTACATTTGGATTCAGTTTATGATTTGATGATGGTCCAGTAGTAAATATTTGAAACACATAATCTGTATTAATCTTGATCCACTAAGAGTTTTCCGTTTGGCAAAATTTTGTATTTGAAACCAATAAGTTTAAAGCACATGTAGAGAGAGGTTCAGCTGCATTTAATATTGAATTCATTCCTCACTGAGCATTCATATGAACATTTTTATGCTGGAACACATTTCAGATTTTCTGTATGTATCTCTTCATATTATATCTGCACTAGCCTCATTGATAACTTTACCACTTTCAATGCCACTTCACTTTTCCCTACATCAAATGAGACTTCCCATACAGCTGTTTTCAGCATCTTTCTTAAAATCAACTTCTCAGTTATAGCACCTTTCCTACGAAAGTCATGGTTCTTCAAACATTCAAATATTTTTACTATATCCTTGGAAGTTAGGGTGGTTGGTGTGATTCCATCTTCTACACTGAATTCTAACCAGCCTCTGGAATCTACAAACTTATTTTCAAAAATACAACCGATATTCAAAGATCAGATTCAACTAAATTTGTTTTACAAGCTTTGGTAGTAATTTGCTACTTATTAGTTATCATTTTTTTCTATAAAAATTTAAAATCTCTGTGAAATTTTCAGTCTATTTTCATTCAAAATTGTACCTGCTGGTTTTATCTTACAGGTTCAAATTGTCAATTTGGTATATCTATTAACATACTTTACTAAATCTTTTATTTTTTAGGTGTCGAAATATTGCAAAACTCTTGTATATTCACATGTTAGGATACCCAGCACACTTTGGTCAACTGGAATGTCTGAAGTTGATTGCAAGTTCAAGGTTCACAGACAAACGAATAGGATATCTTGGAGCTATGCTGTTGTTGGATGAACGCCAAGATGTACATTTGTTGATAACAAATTGTCTGAAAAAGTATGTTTGTGAAGTTTCTATTTTATTTCTTTAAACTTGATATTTTCACTTCTCTAATATCTGACTATAAACGAACCGTTTTGAAAAATTTATTTCAAATTACGAATGTTTGATTTTCTTAGAAAGTAACAACTCAATTTCAGTGAACTCAAATGAAAGTCAGTGATTTACTATTATTAATATTTTTCAGCGATTTGAATTCTACAACACAGTTTGTTGTTGGATTGGCACTCTGTACATTAGGAGCTATTGCTTCTCCTGAAATGGCTAGAGATTTAGCTGGAGAGGTAGAAAGATTGATGAAATCTCCAAATGCATATATTCGAAAGAAAGCTGCTCTTTGTGCATTTCGTATAATAAAAAGGGTTCCTGAATTAATGGAAATATTTTTGCCAGCTACAAGAAGTCTTCTTTCAGAAAAAAATCATGGTGAGGCTAATTATTCTTTATGATTTTATGATTATCAACTATTCCTCACATGCTTTTAAAGGACAACAGAATAATCATTCAAAATGTAAAATATTTTAAAACAAGGTCAGGCTTTAGCAATGAGTCCATGAATTTTGATTAGTTTCACCTCATTTTGGGTGAATAAATATCGATAAAAAATAATTTATTCCGACAATGCATGAAACAAAAACATATTTCTTTTTATTTTTGATGGTAGTTATGAATAATTTCCTAAAATTTTGTGTACTATGTGGATATTAAAAATGAATTCTGCTTTAGTGCTTATTCAGCTACAAACAAACTACAATTCAGATGTCTTTTTAATCATGTTTCTCTATAGAACTAAATTATCCGTGGAAATGCTACAAGATAGTACAAAGTAATTGTCATGTTAGAGGTGTGCTGAAATTTTGTTATATTATCTAGAATTTGATTTCGACCATTAATACGAAAAAACTGACATTCCATTCATGTCAAAACTACTCTTTAATATTACATCACAAAATATTAAAAATATAAATTTGTTGGAACATTAATTAAGCCCCATTTTGATGCAAATTGTTTACTTATACTTGACAAATTACAGTACAGATGCATGAGAATACCACTAAAATGTTAGTGCTTTAGTTAGCTAGATATCTGCAAAAGACAGACTGTTCTATATTCTTTGAAAGACATATTTTGTGAAAAAGCAAATTTTTGTTGTTGTTTTGGGTATTTATTTCCACAATCTGCAAAATAAACACTCTAGTAGAGTTTCTATTGATTTAGCTACGTTCATTTTTCAGGAAGATTAAATACCCAAAAACAGCAATAAACATAGACTGTTCTATTTTTCTATTATTCTATTTTCAATAGTAACTGGAAACTCCTCATGTACTTCAAAAATTTCATTTGCACCAATTAAATTCAAATACATTATACAAGATCAACAAATTCTTCATCTTATGAAGGTTTCTTAGATTGTAATCTTGATTGATGATAGATCAATCAATACAACGCTAAATTCAAACCATATCATTCCCTATTATTACTGTTTTGTACCACTGGTCAAATACATCTAATTTTGATATCATCTGGCTATCGTTTCATAATTTGATTCACTTTTTTTTAGGTGTCCTAATAACTGGTGTAACTCTGATTACCGAAATGTGTGAGAATAGCCCAGATACTTTAGAACATTTCAAGAGAGTAAGAAATTTTTTCAAATTCATTGAAAATAAAATCAATATTCACTTGAATTAATTACAATTTTTATACCACACTAGTTCGTTATTGCATAGGTACTGACCACAAAAAAGTGTACTTGCTTGGGGACATGAAGATAATAGTCAATTTCTGAATAACTTATCAATAACCTTTATTAATAAAATTACAATATTTGAAATAATAGTATCTATTATTCAAATATCTGTTTAAAATTGTTTGGTCGAATTGACATAAGAAATAAATCNGTACTTCAGATTGTAATATCTCAGTGAATACTCATCCGATTCAATCAAATATGCGCCATTTGAAGTACAGTGAATACAATTTTTTTATTTTTGATCCTCGTTTTTCAGTTTTGTTTTAGCTAATAAAGATATTGAACAGATTTTGAGTTCTGAAAAATGTTCGGACAGTGAATTGATATTTTGCAATTGAGGCAAATTTTAGGAATTTTCTTAAAGATTTGGAAATGTGGATTGATTCAGTTTCTGAAATGTCATACAAAGTAAATATGTTTTCATCATAATAAGAAGTATTACTGACAAGTTGAATAAATCAATATTCAAATTTTATTTAAAGGCGGTAATATTTCTGGTAAAATTTAACATATGATATTAATTTTGACTATTTCTCAGAAATAAAATCTTCAGATTTCTTGAAATATTAAAATTTGCTAATTGTGATTGTAATAACGGACTAGTTTGACATAAAAATTTGTCTTCACCGCGGGTATTAATAGATATGAATGTCATGGATCTTCCATACTTTTGGGCCAGAAGCCCCCGGTTTGTAAGATCATCGCCTTCAGGGTATAAACATCTACTTTATTACCCTGGTACATATATATCTTTAACTTTGTTTCAGATTGTGCCAAATCTTGTACGCATTTTAAAAAATTTAATTCTAGCTGGATACTCTCCAGAACATGATGTGTCAGGAGTCAGCGATCCATTTTTACAGGTAAACTTTCTGGACTATCAAATGATGTTTAAGTGTCTTAACGTACTTTTAAATTTATTTGAACATTTGATGAGAGAGAAAGTAAAAAAACTTGATATTCCAGGTGAAAATTCTAAAACTACTAAGAGTGTTGGGTATCAATGATGTTGAAGCATCAGAGGCAATGAATGATATCCTTGCACAAGTAGCAACTAATACAGAGACTAGTAAAAATGTTGGCAATACTATTTTATATGAAACAGTTTTATCAATCATGGATATAAAATCAGAAGGTGGACTGAGGGTAAAGATTCTTTATTTGTTTTTTTTTGCATTTAAATTTTTTGGTTTTCAACAGGTTCTTGCAGTGAACATTCTGGGCAGATTTCTTCTAAATAATGATAAAAATATAAGATATGTCGCCCTCAACACGCTACTGAGAACGGTCCACGTTGACACTTCGGCTGTTCAGAGACATCGTTCCACAATATTAGAGTGTCTCAAAGATCCCGATGTTTCTATTAGAAAGAGAGCAATGGAATTATCATTCGCCTTAGTCAATTCACAGAATATAAGAACCATGATGAAGGAGTTACTGGCTTTCTTGGAAAAAACAGATGCAGAGTTCAAGGCACACTGTTCAAGTTCAATAGTATTGTCAGCTGAGAAGTATGCACCGAATAAAAGATGGCATTTAGATACCCTATTGAAAGTTTTGGTTGCGGTAAGTTATTTGACTACTCAATTATTTTATTTTTATTTATTTATTATTTATTATTTGTNTTTTTAGTGACATTATTGTAGAGATTACTTCATGTTCAGTTGTTGGTGCAAGAAATAGGGTTATATTTATTGGATGTAAACTTGTATGTTCATTTGTTGTCATGACGATAGACTTAGGACATTGATTTATATAGAAGCTATTTACTTTGTTTAAGATTAATTTTTTATCTTTTTCTTCTTTATCAATATTTCTTAGAATTGAAACGTTCTTCTTTTCTGTTTTCCCTGTGTACTTTTGTACCAATGTCCACACTGCTTTCCCTTTATTTTTTATGAATGTTAATGTGCACAAAACTTAGTATAATGTTGTTTCACCTGACTAGGCAGATTTTATAAAGCTGTTTATATATCAATGGACTGACTGTCTTACTGTGTACCAGTGTTTCTAAGGGCTCCGTGCTGGGTCATAACTATTTTTGATTATAATATTAATGACTTTCCAATGGTCGTGCTGATCACTGAGATGGCTCTTTTAGTTGATGACACATCAGTAATTAAAACAAATTCATCTTCTCTCAATCTACAAGAAAAAGTCAGAGAAACACAGTCGGTGGCCAATAAATGTCAACTGACACAGCACTCAAGAATATATTTGACACAAGACCATCGATAGATTTTTGTTTATCTTGTCGTCAAGAATACACAAGATAAGCTCATCAAGCAAAAACTTTTTTAATGTTTTTTTTCACAACTTATAAATGTGAAGCTGGATTTTCAACACTAGTTTACCTTAAAAATAAATATAGAAACTGACTTACTAAAATTTTTTCACTAAATAGGCGATACCAAAATATGCAGTAATAATAAAACATTTTTACTATTATTAAATTTCCATTATTTTTCTTAATGAAACCAGCTTGGGTTTAAAATCATTAAGTGGATCACGAAGGGGCAGTGTGAAAATGACTGGCCATGGCGTAACAATGTTCGGGAAACACTGGTGTAGACAATGAGGTTTTAATATATGTGCCATAGATCATTGATATTTTTTGTCATTTGTGTTATGCCACTAACAGTCAATATTTTGGTGTTTCTTGTTGACATCTTCAAAGCCGACTGTATTTCTGAGTAATCCTCCTTATACAGTTGGATTTGTATGTCCAATTGTTAGTTACTTTTCAATCCTGCGAAGTGAATCTTTTTATATATTCATTGTATGTAATGCATTGATTACATGTCATATATTTTTGTAAATTTCGTATCATAAGTGATATAAATGAAACAAAATATTTCCAGGCTGGTAACTATGTTCGAGATGATGTAATATCATCCACAATCCAGCTCATCTCGGAAACTACCAGTCAGCAAGCTTATGTTACACTACAGTTATACAAGGCGTTATCGGAAGACTTGCAGAATAAGCAACCTTTAACACAAGTTGCTGTGTGGGCGATAGGTGAATTTGGTGACTTGCTCTTACAAGCACCTATAGATGAAGAACATAACATACATCCACCTACCGAAGAAAAAGTTATAGAACTTTATCAAAAACTGCTGTGGTCCCCTCAAAATAGCGTGATTACAAAACAGTATACCCTGTTGAGCTTGACAAAACTCAGCACGAGATTTAATAACACCAATGAGTAAGTCTATGATGTTTGATACTATTTTGTTTCAGATTGAGATACCATGATTATTATTTTTACATATTGTCACATCGACACTCTAAGATATCAACATGTAAACCAATATTAATTTACTACAATCCGCTGTTTGTATATTTGTCCTTCAACCTTCACGTACATTTAAGTACGAATTGAAATATGCTAAGAACATGGTGATGCCGAATTTTCTATGCAATATAATAGGAAAAGTTGCAGAAAACTTATGAATTTTTGTAAGGTATTAATTGAAGAGCTATGTTATTCCTAATATAACTAGAAAAAAATAAATTGAGTAATCCCGATTTCAATAATTCAATTATTCAATAATAAAATTGAATAAAGTTGTATACAAAATCAATTTTGTCACCTCTATTTCGGTTGACGCCACTATACTATTGTGCCATGGGCAGTTGCCCTGTCCTGGGGCCTGCTCTGCACAATACATTTTATTTCCTCATTCCAATTACTGTTTTCATAAAAAAAAATCTATCAAATTGTGGTGATATAATTGTAGATATAAGTGTAGGATATAATTTTGATTATATAGATTTGATCTAATAGAATGCACAATAAGTCATGTACTTGTATAATATATGTTTAGTTACAAAAAAGGACCACAAACTGTTTTTTCCTTTTCAATATTACCCAATGTTTTAATACTCTAATGGGCATCTGCAAATCGGTCCATCATTATTGAGCCTTTATACACTTTATTTTTACTTAGACACAAGGCCAGATTTAGATTCGATAATGCCGTAACCAGTTTGGATATTCTGAGTGCTAAATATGATTTCCGAATACTAGAGGGTTTCACTGAAATACTATTAAAACGAGATATAACAGTGATATAATAAACTTCAAACCTTTTTCATTCATAACAAACTTAAAATAATTTTTATTCATAATAAACTTATTTCAAGTTTGTTATGAAAACCATTTTTGTTCATAACAAACTCAAAATTTCAAACGCTGATAATATAAAAAGAAAGTTATTTTTAAAGAAACAATACACATGCACTCATTATTTAATCTTGTTAAACAAAAGAACTGAAGAATTATATTGAACTAAAATATTTTCTTTCTTGCCTTTGCCTTAGCAAAGTTACTAATGACATCAAATGATAAACTGCAAAGTTTGTTACTTTCTATGCACATGAGACTAAGGGAACATATTTTATCTTGTACCATTGTTGTTCTCAATTCGGTTTTTATCTTCTTCAATTAGAAAAAAGATTTCCCTCCAGAGACATCTGCTCACTCGAAAAATTGTTTTTGGGGACCTCAAAAAAAGTGGGCCCTAAGCTAAAGCTTGTAAATCCTGCCCTCAGAGACAGTTAGGAATCACTCGTTAAAAGGTAAAACCTCATTAGAACTTAGCTCGCACAAGTTTCGAGTTTTGAGAGTTGATGAATGAATGAATGATTTATTGGTAGGAAGATCCTAATACACAAACATAATATACATAATATTTCATGTTATATAGACACACATAGTAAGGATATAATACATATATACATATAGGTACACATAAATACATAATATATACTGAGTCACTTACTATCTATTCTATTGTGATACCTTTCATATCGTTCGTAGGGGAGCGACAGCTGATTAACGGAAAAACAGATTTTTTCCAACAGATTTTTTTTGTAATTCTATTCTCATAGTAATATTTTGTTTTAGTAAAATCCATCAAATTATAAGCTCTTTCTGTTCGAGTTTGCACGTAGAATTGCAGCAAAGAGGGGCAGAATATTCTCAACTTTTTGGTAAATATTCACACTTAAGGCCTGCCTTATTGGAGAGAATGCCACCAATGGAAGTAGTTAGGCAAGTCGACAATCAAACTAATGGGGATATTAGTGATTCAGAGCCTAGATCAACAGAAGAAAGTCCACAACATATCGTAAATAGTGACTCGGTGAGTTTTGTATATTTTCAAATATTCTGGAGTTGAACGTTTTAGTTGAACAGTGATTCAAAATTTTTTGGGTGATCTTTACGTTTTTATGAATTCATGTTGAAATTTATGTTTTAGAATGCTCTTCTGGATCTGTTGGGAGGTACAGAAGGACTAGATGACATTATCAAACCAAATTCACAACCTTCACAACCAGTCTCGCATTCAAACAATCAAGACCTCTTAGATTTATTGGGTTTGGATATATTACCTGTGGCGCCATCTGGGGATTCTGGGGGTATTAATAGTCTAATAATGGAAAATAACAATCCCAACTTAGAACCAATACTGAATAACCAAAATACTAATTTCTTGAGGGACGATTTACTTGATGACAGTAACAATATCGATGGTGAGTAATTTTTATTCATTCTAGCTGCAATTAATGATTCATTTATGTATGTGTGTGTATTTATGATTAGCTAAAAATTTTCCATTTCTTATTCTTTCATTGTCATTCATCGAACGAAATGAGAGTAAGAACATTTCATTTCATTTTATTTATTTTTTCAGAAAGGAATGTGCCTACACTAACTGCCTACAACAAAGACGGTTTGAAAATAGTCTTTTCTCTGGACAAAGTACCAGATAGTAATACTTTAACGATAAATGTTACAACAACCAACCACACGCTTTCGAATATGACTGATTACCTATTTCAAGTAGCTGTTCCTAAGGTGAGTTATTATTTAATAAATTGTTTGTTGTCATTTTAAAATAACGTATTGTTTCAGGCATTCCAATTACAATTATTATCACCATCAGGGACATTGATCAGTCCGAATGGTCAAGTAACACAGGTTGTCAGGGTAACCAATCCTAGTAAGGTGAGTCAAATAAATGAGGTCGATAGGTTATGATTGTAAGTTTTTACTTGTCAAGGTAAGACAGGGTAAAGGTAAATTTTAAAAATGTCTTATTTATTCGTTTCAGAATGTGTTGAAGATGAAAGTTCGACTGTCATATATCATTGATGGAAACCCAATGCAGGACCAGTTCGATGTGAACAACTTTCCTATCGACATCTGGGATTGACAGAGGAATAACGGATAAAAAGTTAAAAAAGTTTTCTCATATTGTTGAATATTTATATTTATAAATATGTGAGTCTATTTTCAGTGTAGACATCCATATATGTAAATGAGAATCATATTTTCTATAATTAGATTTAGTTATTTTTTAGTGAGACTACACCTGTACATAATTTTACTATTGAGTACTTAATGTTTTTTCCATTCCTGTATTTTCCATTGTATAATTTTATATTTGACTTTATTTTCTACCTGTTAATTTTAACAAGTTATTTATTTTGCAGCATGCAACTAATCAAATTATTGAGATTCTGTGTTATATATATATACATAAGTATTTTCACCAATGTGATCTTTATTATCTGGCATCGGTTGAATTTTATTTAAGGCTTGTTTTGTTATACAAGTTATTTGCGTCCATAATATTACTAGGCCAATAAATTGTAAATAATATTGAATTTGGTTGTTTTTTTTTCACACCATGTGTGTGTTTGTGTTGAATATTTTCCATTGCTCGATAAACTGATATTGGTTTTGCTTGAGAGCAGTCTAACTTCCCATTTCTTTCAAGTATCCATAAACCATTACAGCTTCATGGGCTGGTAGTGTTTTTCCTCGAAACATTTCGTGACATCTACTCCAATAATATTGTTTGCTCCATGCTTGTTACATATGTCTGGATTAAGTTTATTCTCTGTACCTTTGTTGCATTACAAGTCAGTAGCCTTGTAATTGTTCTGAGTCGATCCTGTCTCTGATGAAACTTCTCTGTTCGACGTAGGTTTGCGAAATATCGTTTCGGAAATTTTAGATAGATAGATTTTATTTAAACTGCATTCCAAACAAGTTTACACCTTATTATATGTATACAGTTAATGTCATGGTACATAAAATATATGATTTTAAAATACACGGAATAAATAAACACCCAAAATTACGTACAAGAGAAACAGGTATATATGGCACATTTTGTTTTTCCAAACGACTACCTTATTTCTAATTCATCACAGCAAAAAAAAATCCAGACTTTGATGACTTATGACTAGATCTTTCACTTGCCTAAGGCAGTGATTGAGTGGAGACTCTTGATCGGGTGTCTACATAGAAAACCCTATTGCGATTTCTTGGACTAGCACCAGGGACATGAAGATTGATCACACTGAGGAGTTCAGGTACATTCATTATCTGATTAAATATGTTGAATATAAATAGTACATCATTCAAGCTTCGACATCTGGCAGGGTTGGCATGTCAAAATGTTCTAGTTGAGTCCTATAGGAGATTATAGAGAGAGAATATTAATTTTTTTGAAGTAGGTGTACCTAAGTAATTTCTTCTGTATTTTTTCTATCATCTCTGAATGAAATGCTGTTTGTTGAGGCGTATTCGAGCTTTGATCTGACAAAGGCATTGAATAGAAAAATTCCTAGTTCCCATTTGAAATTCCTGGCGTTTCTTAACACAAAACCAAGCTTTCTGTTTGCATCACGTACAATATATTCTATGTGATTTCTGAAGTTGAAGTTACTATTAAATATGACTCCTAGATCTTTGATTTGAGCAACTTTTTCCAGTTTGGTGCCATTTATTGAATATTCTGTTGGAGTAATAACATTTTTCTGTAAAAAAGACACAACTTTGCATTTACCCTCATTCAGCATTAAGTTGTTCGTCTCACAAAAGATAGTGATAGAATCTAAGTCTTTCTGAAGGTTTTCACTGTCTCTTTCATCGTTGATGGTTTGGTATAGTCACCTATATTGTTAATGAACATTATAAATAAAAGTTCCCTGAGGAACGCCAGAGGTTCGTCTGAATAGTGTCGACCTTTTTCTATTGAAAGCAACAAATTGATCTCTATTTGATAGATATGCGATTTCACTAATGTTATCATTGATTAACTCATTGAGAATTTCCTTAATTTGGTGATGAGAACTCCATGGTTCACTTTGTCGAATGCTTTCGCTAGGTCTGTGTAGAGTACATCAATTTGTTTTCCAGTATTTATCGAGAGTGCTAAGTTATTGCTGAACACAATGAGATTTGTGTTCAAAAAGCTGTAGCTGTAGAAACTGTCACGTTTCGAGGTCTGTTCTTTGCTTTTAATTTTATTCTGAGAGAAAAAGTCAAAAGACAATGCTTCTCACACATGAAAGGTTTACAAAGAAAAAAGTGACAATATAGGAAATAGCAGTCAGTAACGGTTTCTCGATGGATATTGTAGATGATATAATAAAGAAGAAAAAGTTTAGGTTAAGAATGAACTAAATCTCGACTTTAGAAACGACGAAAACAAGGTAAATATATCTTAGTTCCTACCACATACTAGGGATGAAGGTGGTATTTAAAAACGAGTCATACACTACAGAGCCTTTCAGGAAATCCAAAGAACAAAGTCGACAATTCGGAAAAGTTTGGAATTTACGAAATTAAATGTAAAGACTGTGAAGCAAAATATTATGGACAGACTAAAATAACTGTTAAAATAAGATATAAGAAACACTTGGCACACCTAAAATATGGAAGACCTGAAAAATCAGCAGTCGCCCATCGTTTTGCAACAAAACTATTCCATAGACTTTTAGTTCATTGATGTTAGACAAGTTAACAACAGGCATCTAGATGCCTATTAATGAGAGCGTAGAAATAAGTCATATTTACCAGACTAGTAGATAAGGTAACATTGTAAAATTAATTAAGGACAAATAAGACGCAGGTATAAATAAGGATAACATTGTATGTGTATGATCACTTTGAGATTGAAACACGTGTCGAGGTGTTACAAATAACGGTTTGGTGTTGGGATAAAACTTCAGTAATATTTATTACTACACCAAAGGTTTCAAACAGTGCATCACAAGTATTTCAATTAGTGTTTAATAAATATCACTGGAGTTTTTTTCCCCAACACAAACGTGCTGGGTTGAATTTTTTGGTGCATCGTCTTTTGACTTTCCCTCTAACACATGATAGGTTCACAAAAGAAAAACGTACAATACAGAAAATAGCAGCCACCAACGGTTTCCCGAGGGGTATTGTAGATGACATAATTAGGAAAAAAAAGAAGTTTAGGACGAAATCTCGACTTTCAGAAAGGACAAAAACCAAGATAAATACATCTCAGTTCCATACCACCAATATACGAAGAACTTTGGAAAGATTTTCAAGGAACTAGGTATGAAGGTGATTTTTAAAACAAGTCATACACTGCAGAACCTTTTGGGAAGTCCAAAAGACAAAGTCGAGAATTCGGAAAAGTCTGGAATTTACGAAATTGAATGTAAGGACTGCGATGCAAAATATTATGGACAGACAAAAAGATCTATTAAAGTGAGATATAAGGAACACATAGCACACTTAAAATATGGAAGATTTGAAAAATCAGCAGTCGCCCATCATATTTTGCAACAAAACCATTCCATAGACTTCAGTTCTTTAAGATTAGTTAGACAAGTTAATAACAACAGGCAACTAGATGCCTATGAGAGTGTGGAAATAAGTAAACATAATAATATTAAGAATAACGACAACGGACCAATACCAAATAGCATACTATATAGCTTGTTGAAATAATATTGTTGGGTTTACTGATTACTACAAAAAGACACATTGTAAATATATTTAGATAGGCAATATTGTGAAACTAATTTTATATAGCTGAAAATTGTTCTATATATAGCTGTAACATTTAAAATACATATAAGGACATATTGTAAATAATAGAAAGGCCAATTGTAAAATTAATTTAGGGTGGTACACTTGTATGGGTGGTATTACTGATTACGTACCTGTATGATGTACCTGATTAGTATAAGTAGCTTTAGTTTTGAGTAGTTATTAGTTTTATCTTCCTCTTGAAGATGATCACTTGGTGATCGAAACACGTGTCGAGGTGTAAAAATAACGATTTGGTGTTGGGAAAAAACTCCAGTAATATTCATTACTACACCAAAGGTTCCAAACAGTATATCACTAGTGTTTAATTAACTGCACAAAATAAGATAATGAATAATCATACTTCTTTAAGAGCCAAATACTTACCACAAATAATTTTTTGAAACCCTTTCGCTCAAGTCTAATAACAGATAAGGCTTTTTTTCGAGTATATCTCTCTTTTATATGATGTTGAGAAAGTTTGTAAGGGAGCGGTTGAAGGGTCTATTATTGGGTTTAACGAAACACGTTAGTTTCAGTACTTTTGTTCTGGTGTGACAGACATGTTTTCATTGGTTCATGTTTGAAAACAGTTCACAGGAAAAATAATGTTGAGGACGAAAAGTGTAAAGCTTTCACATCACCTCACAAATAAATAATAATTTATGAACTTGTTGACATCTGGAAGTAACAGATGCAACTTGTATTGAAGAAGTTATATAGGTTCAAAGGATTTTATTTGATATTGATTTGGGTCACCTACAGTTTTTGTAAATTATTTCCAATAGATGGTGTATCAAATACTGTTTCAACTGCATCGTTAAAGCATAGTATAATAAAGTAGCTACCACCGACAATGTAAAAAATTTGCCTTCGTCGTCTGAATCGAAAAATCTGATTTGATACTTTTCCTAGACCAGAACGAATATGCATGAAAAACCTGGTATTTTGACAGATTCGCTTTTGTTTTGTCAAACATTCTCGACGCGAGAAGTTAGATTGATTCAACTTTGTACACATACTGCTAGATGGTGCAAGAATCAAAATCTGTCGCGCGTATTTTTACCTTATATCCCTTTATAGGGAAGCGCATAAGAACCAACTATTTTTTTTATGAAAATATTCTTAAAATATTCCGACTTGAAAACTCCAAACCAAAAACCATTAAGTCGACTCCCACTACTTTCATTCAAAAATTCACAAAGTTCTCGGTGACCTCAAAACAAAGTGAGGAGCCAATTTCGTTCTTTTACCATAGGCGTGCGCTCATATAAAAACGAAATTTAAGGTTACTTAGAATATTTTGTGGTAAATTACTTATAACCAACTACAAAAACTAAAAACAATAATAACAACAGCGAATGAACTGAACACAATATCAATTTCCGACCGTTTATAACTAATCCGATGTCCGTGGTACCGTCAAATCCTTCGATGCTACAGCACTGAACGCGTTGGATGAGAATCTCATCCTAAGAGCGGTTGAAGGTCGTCGGCAACTCGGGCGGATCATGTGGTTAGATAGCCTACTGATTGTATTATTCTACTGTGCCTAAGACATAGATTGCATTTACCGCTTTTTCAGTTAGTACTAACCTTCAAGAAAAAGTTGTTGAAGCTTCATGATATTTCACTCATAAGTTTGTGAGTTATTGTGCTAAGAGTGACACTACTTTTGTTATTTTCAAAACAATGGATCAGAAACAATTTCGTGTTTTGATTTTACACTGCTTCTTGATGGGAAAAAATACCGTTGGTTTGCTGACTTCAAACGTGGTCGTAGAGACACAGTTGATGCAGAACGCAGTGGACGTCCAAATGAGGCAGTAACACTAGAAAACATAAAAAAATCCACAAAATCGTTTTGAATGATCAAAAAGTGGAGTTGCTTGAGTTAGCTGACATTGTAAAGATACCAAAAGAACGTGTTGGCTTTATATTGCATGAGCATTTGACTATGAGAAAGTTTTGTTCAAAGTGGGTGCCACGAGAGCTCACTGTTGTTTATAAATAAGAATGTTTTGATGATTCTGAGCAGTGTTTGCCCAAGTTTAAACATAACAAACCAGAGTTTTTGCATCGATATGTGACAATGGGGGAAACATGGATGCATCACTTCAATACGGAATCAAAACGATCGTCATCTGAGTGGAGAGCAATTGATGAATCTCGTCCAGAGCGCCTGCAAGCACAACAATCGGCTGGAAAGGTTATGATCCCGGTATTTTGGGATGTGCGATTATCTTGAGAAGGGAAATACCATCAACGCGGTTTTTTCTTAGGTCCGGGACTTTTCAGCCCAGGTGTTACATGAAAGAAAGTCAGAGTGCATTGCACACTATGAAAAATGTTGTTTAATAATCCTCCGTACATTTGTTCAATTCATTTCCAAACCATGTTAAGTTCATGGCGCTTAATCATAATGCTCATAGTAAATCCAGTCTTTTGGTTTGGCCAAATCCATAATTCTCCGAGATGGTTTGTACTTTAAAGCACTTGGAGTCACTGAAGATTTTGGCGAAATGAACGAACTCGACGTATCTTTAATCTTTGGAGAAATTGATTTCGGTTGTGCCAAATTTTTTATTCTTCTTGTTGCTGAAAAATATTGACGAATTCTAGTCATTTTGTTGGGTGAATGAAAGATTATACCTTTGTAATTCAAGGTAGATTTTTTGATAGCCCAATGACTGTCATCGCAGTTTTCGCTGTACCTTCTTTTTGGTTCTGCTAAGTGTGAAATAGTATGAGAAAGCTGGTTCGGTGCAGTTATAGGTCTCATCTAAAAAAATATTTGACACCCTATAACTAACTGATCTCTTTCTAGTTAAGAACGACACAATAAATATATTTTATTACCTGAGCATTTTTCTTTCCTTTCTTTTTTAGTGTTGGTTTCTTTAAAATATCTTCTGCATTGATTTTTCTGAAGTCGTCAGGAATATTGCTACCTCGATTGCCTTTCAAAATAGATTTGGGCATATTTCGAGTTCACGAAGAATTTGGAAATATTTTTTCGAGTAGTTGTCAAAATTGAGTGACACTGTCGGAATCATTATCACGGACCAATAGCTGGATATGTTAGATGTCCCCACACGAATGTGCGATTAGCTTTTGTTGATGACTCCGTGGAATGCGTTGTTTTCGTCAACAGTTTTGCCCATCTTTGCACTTGGCTACTTGTCTTAACGTGATGTCCGCGATTATTTTTGGGTGTCATGTTAACGAATCCATTTTATTTTCGAGTATAGATACATACTCGTTAACATTTTTCAGAAATATGTTCAACAAGATTTTCTTATTTCGATTTTTCGTGTAAACTCATTTTATCATATCTGAAATTAACACATTTGCTGTTCTATCTTATAAATATGAAACTCATAAAATATTTTCGTTCGAGGAGTTGTGGTGTGGCCCCAAAACTGCCCTCATTATTTTTTGTTCAACGAGCGAATTCGGATATACTCATGAATCTCTAGGGGTCTGAAATCGTTGACGAAATAATAAAAATTGGTTTACGGACATACCTACTTAATATATTTTGATGAAATTGAAGTTATTATCCTCCAAACAACCTTTGAGAGTGAAAAACAGACAAAATGTGGTATAAGGTGGTATGTATAGCGCAGTCCTGAATTTGAATTTATTTTTATTTATTGAATTAGGATTCCGTAATATACAGGTTAGCTAACTTAAAATATAATATAATCAACAAAATTCATATAAATATTACAGCTTTATATACATACATAATTTGAATTGAACAAAAAGGAATTTTTCAATTTCCATCATGAATATATTTTAACAGTTCGCTCTTGAAAATCTTTAATGATTGAGTAGATTCAATTGAATCAGGTAAATCATTGTATTTGTTCTACTTATATGAATGTTGTGCTAAGTAGAATGGTGAAGAATGTCCTTATTGAAAGTTATTTATGATAGCAAGGGGTCATTTTATTTAATATTTTATAAATGAAAACCATGGAACAATATATCAATCTTTTGGATACTGAGAGACATTGTAGAGCAGATGGCATGTTAGAAATTCGTGTATAGCTATTACATTTTGAAATTATTCTCATTCCTTGATTTTGTAGTTTTTGTATTTGTTGCACTTTGTTCAAATTGAAAGAGAATAACATAGATGCACAGTAGTCAAAATGGGATTGGATTATTGATTTATATACCATGATTTTTGTATCTGTTGATACGTTATTGGCTTATTTTCACACTGGGTATTTTTATTAATTGTTCATTCTTCAATATATGTATGGCATCATCTTGTGATTTGAAAATAACCTTGATGGGTCGATTTTCGTTAATTGTTGGTTTTCCCAATCTGAAATGTTTTATTTCTTCCTTATTGACGTTGAAGTCCTGCAGTAAATTATTTATGGTTTCTCTTTCTTGTGCTGATGTTTCAGTGTGGAGGTTTCCCTGAGGTTCATTCACATTATAAATGATAATATTGGCCGGTCGTTCTTGTCTGTCTATAATTTCTGATATTAGATCTTCACTTCCAAGCAAAATAGATTCCATGTCAGAATGTGAGTTGGATACATTCATGTCATCAACTTTTTTTAGCAATTTTTCATTTTCCTCTTGAAGTATTCTATTTATCTCCATAATATCACTTAGCTGTTTTATGAGTTTAGGCATTTGCTTGATATTATTCCTACATTGATCACAAAAATATGTAATGCATCGATCTGATTTAAGGAAAATAGCTCTAAGTTCGGTACTTGTAAGTTCAGTACATGTTGAATGTAGGTACTAAATAATTGCAGCAGTCACATACGACAATGTCTTCCCCTTCTAAATCCTTTTCACACTTATTACACAGTACTTTACCCATTTTTCTCACAGTGAAGACAATTGAAAAAGCACGCCACTGGAACGGTGTTATTTACCTATTTATCTTGCCAGATGTGGCTAATTTTAGGCAATTTATGATTTAGTCTCAAATGAATCGATTTAAGATATTATTAAATTATCATATTGAAATCACATGTCGTTGGTGTCCAGATCAATCAATTCAGTCCAAAAGAAGTTAGTAATCATCGACCTTTAGTTCTAGCCGTTGAGAGTGATGGCCTGACCAATGTCGTTTTCAAAGAAATATGGACCGGCGACGCCACCAGTCCAGAATTCACACCAAACAGTGACTTTTTCAGGATGCATTGGACGCTCTTGGATAACATATGTGGATTGGTATCGTCATAAATTCGAAAATTTTGTTTGTTCACGTACCAATTCATCCAAAAATGGGCCTCATCGCTGAAGATGATTTTTCGATGAAAATTAGGGTCAGTTGCCAAGTGCTTCAGAGCCCATTCAGCAACCTTCATCTCGAATTTCACTTTCAAGGACTCTTTCATTTGGAGAACTGCGTTGATGAAGAATAAATTTCCTAAAAACGTTTTTCAAAATGAATTTAATCTCCAGCGATTCAAATCCAATATGAATCACTACTTTCGCACAGGCACAGCTCTTTGAGAGCCTAAGGATTTTCCTATAGTGCACACGTCGTTGTCTATGGTCGTTTACCTTCAGTTCCTGGGTCCGTTGAATTTTTTACGGGTGCCGGCCCAAATCACGACACAAAATTCGCCAAGGTCGAGTTTTTGTAAGCAACGCGAAATTGACCGCCTCGGATTGTCCTGCACACTCTCATAGACAGCGGCGATGTTTTCGGAAGGTCTTACGTTTCGTCAACGTACGGGATTTGGTCGATCGTTTACTGAACCAGTGGACTCAAATTTATCCACCACATTGCAAATAGTCTTCTCGATAGGACGATTATGGGAACCGTAAAATGAGCGAAGCGCGCAGTACGTTGCCCGAACAGAACACCCATTTTGATAAAACAATTTTATTATTTGCACTTGTGTTGAATGCTATATCCGTCTATGGTGATTTGGCAAAACAGACTGAATGAACGACAACTAATTTGACAGATGTAGTTTCAACAAGATGGCCTTTTATCAATTGTCAAAATTGGGAAGACCTTACATATGGTAACGTTATTTCTTATTAGACAAAATACACAAACAATAGTCATTCGTGCACGTTTTCCAGATAATTTGAAAACATTAAAAACTATTGATCTCAATTGATATCTGTGGCCAGCTTTGCAATCAAATAATGCCGCCAACACATGAAAATTTGCACTCGTTCAAATGTGTCAATCAATGATCGGTATTATGTTGCCAGTTGCCAAATTTTGTCTTATCACATATTTGTTTGAATATTAATTTAAGACTCGTAGATAAGGTAATATTGTGAAATTAATTTAAGACACATATGACGCAGGTACCTAGAAAAGGTATCTATGGTATAAATAAGGATAACATTGTAAGTATATTTAGTTTAATCTTTCTCTTGAAGATGGTCACTTGGTGATTGGAACACGTGACGATGTGTTAAAATAATGGTTTGGTGTCATAGTCATTACTACACCAAAGGTTCCAAACAGTGCATCACAAGTACTAAATTTGACCCAAACCAACAAACAAATAGGGCATGATAAACCGTTTAAAAACAGAATTGACTTGCTGCATTATTGTAAATAACTCTTACGGATTTCGACGGAAAATCAAATCCACCCTAAACCACATATTTTTCACCATCTGGGTGAACATTATATGGCTAACAGGACTGCGACTTCCTACGAGGCTTAGAAAGTTATTAACATAACTTCTCAAAACACGATACTAATAACCATATAGGTAGTCTACGCCGATGACGTCAAAAGAAAAAAGTAAATCTTCTTATTATTGATTTATTACTTATTTGAATAGTTGCTTTTCAACTTTTGACATAGCTTAGTTTATTTTTGACTTTTGACATAGCGTAGTTACATTTGAACAAGTATTAGCTTCTTTCCGTCGGTTTTGCGAGTTCTAATATTCGTGGGGTGGCTTTGTACTTCAGAACATTTGGAGGTATGGTCCATGGATCATAGTCTTCATCTACTTTGGCTTTTTCGTTCCTTTGTTTCGGTACTGCAAGTGTTTCTATCCTCGGGGTGACTGAAACAAGATGAAATCAGGGGATATTTTGCATTATTGAAAAGTATTGCAAAATCAAAAAATTTCAAGAATGTATTGACGACGAGAGGATCAAGGATAAGTCAAAAACTATTTTGATTCAAACCAACGTTTCGGTTTTTCAATTGAACTATATTTATATATCAGAAAGGACTCTTAATAGAATTAACATAGAAATTCTGATTACATGGGTTAAATAATATCAAACGTTTCTCGATAATAAATGATTTATTATCCATATGTCTTTCAACTCAGAGATTTATCGATAAAAAACCCTGAATATGTTTTTATGATTTTTGATATATAATACGAATACCGAAATAATTATTCTTCATTGAGTGTTCTAAATCATAAGACGGCAAGACAGACAGGCAGACAAATTGATACACGAAATATAAACAGATGGGGGCTGTCCAACATGCAAACTTTGCTGAAAGTCGAAACGATCTGAGATACCTTCAATCGCCCAAGTTTTATTGTTACGTCGATAACGATCTAGCGAACTGACCGCCACTGGCACAACATATCGTGCGTTCCCCCACCCGGTATGCTAAGCGTGAAAGCAAGTGAAGACGAAAAACGAGAGCACCTGAATAGGGTATATAAAACTGACTCAAAAAGCTCGAATTCATCGGATAATTCAAAATTGGGAATTGAAAATTAATGTTTAATAATGAATAATGAATTGTGATCTAAATAAAACCTAAAAGATATTATTTAGTTTTGATATTATTAACTTTCTATTGAGATTGAGAAGAGAGAATTTGTATTTATCTCTGCACTTGATCGTTTTTATTGTATGAAATTATCGAAACTACATCTCACCTTTATATCTTAGAGCACTTTTTTGTACTTTCCCAGGTTCCAAAGGTTTCGGTAGATTCTTAAGTCTAGCAGGAATTTGGGCAAGCCTAATTACAGTTTCAGTCGGTTCATAGGTGAGAGCAGCTGGATTTACCTGAAAGTGAATTTGACGGTAATTTTTCTTGGAAGATACATGGGATTTATCGAAAAACTAATGATTATTTGAATATTTTCTTCAAAGTGAGTGATTACTTTCTACCGTTTTGAAAGTGTCAGGGGTTAATATAACTTTGCCTTCTCAAATTTTAAAAACTATTGTGAGTGGAAGTAATTGGACGCAGTTAATTAACGATGATAATTACTAGTTATCGTGACTTTAGATTATACTAGAAAAAAATATGAATGCTCACAAACAAAGTTCAGGTGCTTTCAATAGTGTAACAATCGTGGCATGGACAAATGAAACAAAGAATTAAAATAAATACAGACAAAGTACTTGATATTAGAAGGTTGGATCTGGCAAATCTTTTATAATTTTGCTTGCTTCGTGTCATTCAATGTTCATGTAGGAGCAGTTATTTCGAGATGGCTTTTTCTTCCAATTTGAATCTGGAGAAGAAAGAAACCAAAATCTTCTTTCCCTAAAACTTTTTCCGTAAAACGATGAGAAGGAAAATAGCTTCCATGATTGTTTTTTTCGAAATTAGAAAATTCATGTCATCAAAATAACTCAAACTGATTTACTTTCCATCAATTCTTTTGAGAATTAAATATCTAATATCAGTATTGAAAATAAAATTATGTTTCGGTTACACTACAATGAGCTCACATATAATTTATATGAGCTCAGAAAACTATAAAATTTGTCATCCTTATATACATAAATTCGAATTATATACCTTCATCCAGTTGTTTAAAAATTGGCTCAAACATTTGAACTTGACATTCAGAATTAATAGTGACCAATACAATTCAACAATATATTCAGACAATCTGATTGTGATGAAAACAAATATACCTAATTCGATTATTATGAAGTTATCAAGTTTCACAACAAACTAGTAAATACATTGAAAAATATAATAAATGAAAATTTCTACATATTCTTGGATTTGAAAAAACATTTATTGCTTTGAAACTGTGTACCTACATTTTCTCTGATGTGCGTGTTTATGTTTGCAATTTTGATAATGTATTTTTCTAATTGAATCCTCAATGTGAATTCAAAAACCTTTTTTTTTAATTTCAGTTTTGATATTTTTTGTTTTTATTTGTTTGGTTATGTACTTGGTTATCTTACAGCTTCGAATTATTTTTTCCTGTTATAAGCTTGTATGTTTCTTGGGAAAATAAATCTTTGCTATTATTACTTCAATCTCTAGTCCCAAAAGGAATTGGCTTTGTGAATGTTTCTATATTATCAAAATCGTTAACTATTATCTATTGTAAAATATTTACCCCAAGACGTTTCACTGGTTCTTCAACAAATGGTTTTGGAGTCGCCAATACATCTAGACGATCAAAGTTTGAAAATATCTTCGCAGGTGATTTCTTCTGAAATAAAAACGAACATAATTTNTCCGTCTCAAAATGGAACGAACGGCATGCCTAAAAACTTTAATGTGGCTTCAAGAGAAAAAAGTTCGGGCTGGTATTCCCTAGTCAAATGTTACCTATTGCAACGAACGTTTCGCGGCAGATATCATCAGTAGTATACGTGTTGACTGCGAGAATGAAGGTTATGTCTCGAATTCTCAGCACCAACCTTACCAGCCCAAAGCTCCCGATTGTACCTAATTGCTCGAATGGTGAAAGCAAATGCCGAGTTTTCAGCATTTAATTTGTGATATTGATGCATGCTTTTAGTGAAAAGTCATAAAATTGGAAAACTTTCGAGGCAAAATCGCCATCTTAGAATGATATATAGGAAATTCGAAAAATTGAAATCGAATTTTTTTCTACTTTGTCTATAATAATGGAAGATGTCCTACCATAATTTTATTAGCGTCATATAAAGGGATGAAAATCAATGAATAAAAAATATTGAAAGTACCATTTCGTTAAATCTGATTCACAATATTTGCCTCATATTGTTTTTTTCCGTGAAAAAGTTTTTTGTTGACTTACCTCAGTCTCCTATCACGTTCTCTCTTCTTATAAAAGTTATATATTGAACCCCATCCTTTATTGATATATCTATTAATGGTTTTGCGATACTTCTTTCCATTCTGTTTTCCATAAAGTTTTTTATTTATCACCAACCACCTGTAAAATATGAAATCCATAATTTTGGGAATTCGAATTCCAAGAATATTTTCATGAAATTTATATGTGATAAAAAATTCCCCAAATGTTTATTTTTTAGCTGCAAAAGTCCGATTTCGAAAAAGTTGCATCAAATTGTGGAAATCAATATGTTATAATATTTATGATATTAGTTTGAATATGTTGGCATTCTCACAAATCTGAGTACGTGATGTATATATAAATAGTAAAGTTCGCCTCCACAGTGGGCCATGAAAATGGTAAAAATTAGTTATTCTTGAATTGCAATAAATTGCTAACAAAAACGGTTTGTGTTGAATTTTAATATTCTGCCACCACTATTGAGTTTAGTATTTCAACTTTCAATTTGTATTTTGCAAAGAATAAACTCAATTTTGGTTTAAGTGGTTATTTCAAACCTTTTGGTAAATTCGGGGGTTGAACTTGGTAATTGGGTATTTGAATGGAAATTGAATTTATCTTCCAGTAGTAGTTCTCAAACTCTTAATTTTTTGAAAAAAAAAATATATTGATGAAGAAGTATGTAGACATTTTTGAAAGTTCTCTAGGCAACTCAAATAATTTTTTTCTGAAACTAACCTTATCACTAATGAAAATTGAGTGATATTTCAGTGATATTCGCTACTGACAAATTGTTGTTTTTCTAAGTGAAAATGTGCACAATTCTTCTGGAGGTCAGATTGAGAATTAAGTTTTAGCTATTGAGTAAACTTCATGGTGTGAAAAATGTTTGATTATCACTATGGAAATTGTTTTCATTAATTTCATCAAGTAACGAATCAGTGTATTCATAAACAACTTTGAGAATATAAGACTATCAATAATAAAAATAATAATTCATTGAGTCAGTGTGGTACAATATGTACATATGGTTTGTCAACCAAGGAATATTGAAATCTTTGCCATATCCCTAAGACATTATGTTGATCGAAATATAAGAATAAACCATAGCATAATAGATTGCCGATAGACTTTCATTTGCTCAATCTCAAAAAATACTTTGTTCACTATCGATGTGCAAATTCGAGCTTTATGGTTCATCCAATATTGTTCCCAAAAAGTTAACCTCATGTGACATGTTGATATGATCGCAATGATCTATTTCACCCAAGGTACTCTCATTTCTGTTGTGAAATTCATCAATACCGACTTTGAGGTATCTAAAATCAAGTAATCACATACATACTTACTTGTGAACGGATGCTATCATTGTTCGTTATTAAA